AAATACCGATTAATTAATTAACTTAACCTAACCAATTTAATAATTTAATATAAATAAAACTAAAATTCATCTTATTAATGAGAATTAACCTAACAATTATGAAAAATATTTTTTTTAAAACAAAAGAGAAAGAGAGAGAGAACATACCTTTGAACAAAAGAAAAATACCGAGAGGAAGGAGAAAATTCGAGGCTTTTTAAAGAAAAACTTTTATAGTGGATGAGGCTTGTTGAAGAGTGAAGGAGCGGGGGTTTATGGTAGTTCGGGTGGGATCGTCAATAACAGTCGAAGGAGGAAAGAGAGAGAAAGAAGAAAATAGAGAGAGAAGAAAGAAAAACTTTGATTTAGGGATATAAAATTAACGACGGATATAAGTGTCCCTTGCTAATCCGTCTTTGATCTAGTAGAATTTGAATTATTAAAGCCTTCTCATTTTTTTAATATTAGCGATAGACTTTTTGTTACTAATTTATGAGGAAAATATGTAATTAGGGAAAAAATTTCGTCGTCAAACCTAGACCAAAAAATAAAGATGGAATCAAGAATTTATCGCTAATTTTCCTCATAATTCCCTCTCTAAGTGTCTCTAAAATACATGCTAATATTTTATCATTAACGATAGCAATGGATATGGGTCCCTCGCTAAAAATCGATTGATAATCCGTTGTTATTTTGTAACTAAAGTCCATACCTAGATACCAGTTATAATTCGTTCGCTAATTCATTGCTATTTAGTGAGAGATTGTAATCCATCTCTCGATTTTCATTGCTATTTTCCGGTTATTCTTGTAGTGTTAAGAAATCGAATAGAATTTTTATTCAAATATTGAAATTATAATGTTAATGAAAAATCACAATGAAATTTATAATTTTTAGTACCCGATTTTTAAGAGGAATAAAAATAATAATTTCATCAACTATGATTGTAGTAAAATGACAAAGATGATTGAAGTAATGGTGGTGGTAAAGGAGAAATAGAAGGTTTAATCGCACAAAATGCCCCTCTACTATTGACATCGAGTTAGAAAAGCATACGATAAAAGGAGTGGTTTAAATTTGGAGGGAACCGAGGGTGAAAAATTGGAAGGAACTAAGGGTAGAAATTTGGGAGGAATAAAGGGTAAAAAATTAGAGGGAAACTTGGGTGAGGATGAAAATATGGAGGGAAATGATGCTCGGAAGTGATGGTGATGATGAATTCTTGAATGTCCTTATAAAAGACGTTGAAACAATGAAGTAGAACATGAATATAACTATGATGTATGAGTTAGTATAGATAGCGATGATGTGGATAATGAGAAGTAAGGGAGAAGAAAGAAATCCAAAAAGGTGTTTTTTGACCCCAATATAACCGATCCACATTTTTAGGTCGTAATGATTTTTGCCAATAAGAAGTAGTTTTTTGATGCGGAGACTAAACATGCTTTAAAGTATAGGATGGATGTAAAGCTTAGGAAGAATGATAGGAAAAGGGTTATAACAAGTATGAAAAGATAAGTAATTGGCTTTAAAATTCTATATTCTCCACATAACAAATTTGAAAACTAGATGGTGAAGACATGTATAATAAAACATAGTTATAGTACTTTTTACAAGAATAATCGTTTGAGTTATAGAGTTATGTACTTCATAAATCCGGTAGAGTTTTCTTTAAAATGACATTGAAGGAAATTATTAAGGTGGCTAAAAAGGATTATGGTTCAAGGATCTTATTCACACATGCTCAACATATAAAAAATTGGTACAAATGAGAGATTGAAGGTAATATAAAGTCTAAATTTGATAAACTTGAAGATTCTGCTACAAAATTAAGGGCTAGCAATGAGGGTAGTAGTGCTATCCTACAATGTGATGAGGAATTCAAAAAGTTTGAGACGATGTATATAGGTTTTAAAACATTGACGTATTATTTTTTTTTTGGAGGGCTATAGGAGGATTATAGGTTTAGATGATCGCTTCCTCAAAAGGCATCTTGAGGGGAAATGTCTAGTGGCTATGGGCAATGATGGAAATAACCGGATGCTTCCTCTTTGTTTGGTAGTTATAATAAGTGGAAACAAAAAAAATATAAAAGTGGTTCTTACTAAATTATGACCGATTTGAAAATTATAATGGGTCTTGGACATGGGTGGACTTTTATCTCGCATTCCTATACGGTGATGCATTACTTTCATTTTTTCTTTCATGTAACGAGTTAAATCAAGTTTAGATGTTAGTTTTAGTTTAAATTTTTTTTTATTAGACTAAGTTTGCTTGTTGTTTTGATACGGGGCCTATTAGGTGTCGTAACTAAGTTACTTGCTCAGTGCGAACATAGGAGATGTGCTAGACACATCTTTGCTAATTGAAGAAAGATGCATACAAATGAAGAATTACATAGGTTATTTTAGAAATACTCGTAAAAACACTACACCCTAAGATTTAAAAGATGACATGAAACTGTTGGAGGGGATAAGGCGCCGATGCGAAGGCGGATTTTAAAATGATCCCACTTGATTAGTAGTGTAAGGCTTATTTTAGACTTGAAATCAAGTTTGATGTCGTAAATAATAATATGTATGAGACCTTTAGAATTATCATTGGATCTAGGATTTAAAATCATTGTGAGTGTTCTAGACAAAATTAGGATATATGTTGTGGGTAAGATGATGTTGAGGAGAATGTTTATTGAAAAAAATTTTAAAGGTCATTTTGGAGCTAAAATTTAGACGAGTGATGAGAAAAATAGGAAACTTAGTGATGATTTTAAGGTGTTCTGCAATGGGAGTAAAGGTAAGTCTGGATATATAGGGATGATAGGTTTATTATTAATATAGAACGGAAGAGGTGCATTATTTTAGATATCCATTATGAGCATGCATTTGTTATAATTAAATTGAAAAGTTTGAGATTTGAAGACTATGCTCATGAGTAGTATTAAAAAAATTAGGTTTGTTAAGTCCTATAAGTATTTCGTTAAACTAATGAGAAAAGGAAAGTTTTAGTCAAAATTTGGTTTACCACCTATTTACCCTCTAACCGTTGTTAAGATGCCTAAAAGATAGAAAAAGATTAAGAGAAGAGAAGAATGATAGGAAAAGAGTGATAGTATTAATATATTTAGAAAAAAAAAAAGGAAGATTACATGTCATAGGTGTTTTAAACAAGGTCATAACAATGAAGACTTGTCCTGAAAATCCCAATTGAAAGGTATGAATGTTTATGACTATAACCTTTTTTTTTTTTTTTAATTTTACATAATCATCTACTTGATAATAATAACATGTTGTCTATTTTGTTTTATAGTTCTTCAATTACAAATACAAAACCCGAATAGGGAAGTTGGGATACACAAATATAGTAATTTATTTATTACTATACTCTTTTTCAAATGTAAATACGGAACTCGATTGTTGTGTTGTATAGGATACACAATCTACTAGAATTCTTCTATTCGGTCGAGAGAGATTGCTAATAAAAGAGTAAACGAGTTCTATTATTATTGATGAAGTTCTCGAATTGAGCCAATAACTAAGTTATCAATTGCTAGATCTACTACCGAAGAGGAAAAAGACCTTTATTGATGAAGTTCCGAAGTTAAGTCCCCAATTACTAAATTTATTACTATAAGAGGAAAAAAGCAACTTTTTGATGAAACTACCTTTTGCAATAGAACTCCCAATAGCGAGATCAAATCCTAAAAAGATCAAAAAACCTTAGGTTGGAAAATGCTATTTTGTTGTCGACTCGGGAAGTATGATTCTAATATAAGTGTTACTATTTTTACTTCTCCGATTCAAATTAATAAGTTTAATTCTTTATATGTTAATTTTTAATAACTTTGTTTTTTGTAGCTTAGACACTTGTAACTTTTAAGAGAAAATGAGGAAAGAAGAAAATTAAAATTAGAACTCAAGAGTAGAGTTCTTCATCTTCAAGATTGATGTGTTTGACTTACATGGTTGAGATTTTTGTGAAAATTACAGCAATGAATTTTGGAGTGGGATTGATGTTTTGTAATTAAGCACCTGCAACCTTTGAATTTATGCATTGTGTTGTGTTTTTGGAATTGAAATTAACTATATGATTGTTGCCTTTGTTTGGACTATATGTTCGTCGCCCTTGTTTGGTTAAGTGTCATAGTCTATCAACGGTCTACCAAGTTTTCTACGCTCTTTTACTTTATCAATCATTTGATTTTGACATGGTGGAGTCTTATGTTTGTTGGTGGGATCATAATCAATAACGTCATTTTGGAAGATTTTTTTTTTGGTTTCTGATTTTACATTCCCATTTGGAATATAGCAAGTGAACTTAATGAACAATGTCATTAATTCAAATTATGTTGTTAGCTTTCTAAAGAAATGACATATATATTTTATTCATTCCATTTATGAAGGTAAACTTAGCTACGCTTGACATAGATTCGATAAAATCCTTTAATGATTTTATTATGTGATGATAAAAGCTGTAATATTTCCTATTCAGTTTGTGATCAATTTATCTATAAATTCAATTATAAAATGCCTCGCTTGGATCATCAAAATGTTATTCTCTTCCAACCATATTTGTTGGTTATTGACTTGTAGTTTATTTTTTTTGTTTTCTTGCAAATATTTTTTTTAAGACGTATTAATAAACAAGTCATTGGATATGAAAGCAAGAAAGAAAGTAATTAATGGTTAAGATATTAATTATCATGTTCATCTTCGATGAAGATTTTGAAACAAATTATTAAATATGAAATAATAATAATAATAATAACAAAAAGAATGAAATATTATGTAATTTCTACCCCTTCCTTTCTCCACAACATGAACTTGAAAAATAATTTGGAAAAACTATGAACATCCGACCTCATTCTCATCCCTTAAAAAGAAAAAAATTAAAAAAGAAAGAAAGAAATTAATTAATTATTCATGAGAAAAAAAAATTAATAGGAGACAAGTCTAATTAATTTCTGTTGCTTGTGTTATTAGTGACATTCGTCGTTATTGTTGTTGGTGTTGTGAGCACCACTAATGATGAAGTCGATGGTAGCTACAAGTGTTGTAGTGAAGTTAAGATCCGAGGTGATGGCGGCAATGACAACACTCAATGTGTCGTGAGGTAGGGAAGGTTGTTGTCTTGAGTGCAATATTTAGGGTTGAGCTTGGTGGGTTAATTGTGATGACCCCATATCTTGAGACAATTGAAGGCTAGAGAATTTTGATTGGTTGTATAGATCTTGAACAAAACCCCGAGGCAATTATGATGTTGTGACTAGGGTAAAATTCTAGGGTTGGCTTGGAAAAGGGACTTGGAATGGTGTAGGAGGTTTTTGGAATTGTAAAGGGTTTGAATTGTGTGTGAGGTCTAATGTTACGAGTAGGAATGGAGTCGAAGCTGAAATTGTTTGCACATTTGATGAGTAAGCGAGAATTGCTCTCGCTAGCGAATTTGGATTCATGATAACATATGCACTTGACATTTATCCTAATAGTAATATAGTTACGGGTGTCGTTATTGTTGATCCCGATTGCAACCTCTTGGAGAAGTTGACTATCTACAACCATCCATAAACCAAATCTATATGGTGAATTAAGTTGGGTTGTTTTAGTTGCATAGTTTCTTTCAAGTTGTATCCGATCATATAAGTTTACACTATAAAAAAATTATTTGAATGACCAAAAAAAAAGATTCGAACATATTCTTCAGTAAATAGAAATACCTTTTGCATTTGATTATTTGGTATTTCCAAATCTTTTTTTTTTCACATACTATAACACCACTATTATCATAATCTCAATTGCCTTTCTTGATAAGAATGGCTCACATTGATTCGACTAGATAAGATTTACTGCAAGACGAGAAAATGCCACTATGAAATAAATAAATATTGAAATAACATATTTAAAGTCAACAAAATTAAAATTAAAACTACTTTAGTATAATTTATAAACAACCTACTTCAAGTACACTTCATAAACAACCGATAGAATTAAAATTAAAACCACTTCTATTTTATAAAACTTTAATAACTTAACATTGTATTCACTTAATTTTTTCATTCTCAAATTCATGTGTTCTTTCTCTACCTTTTGTGTTGTTATCTCAACAAGAAATGCTTCCTTTTCTATGAACAAAGAATCTAACCGATTCTTTAACCTTTGAACCTTTTCAACCAATTCATTGTTTCTTTTGGTAATAAATTTTTCTCTTTATAAATCTATCTTTGTCTATTTTTCATTCCTAAAACAATCATCCTAGCTCTGCCTTATATAAAATCATCCCTCCACACCCAATAACCATAGCTAAAATTTTTATTACCATTATGGGCAAAACATATAGGACATGGATGGAACTTCGAACCTAGATGCTTGTCACTCCATGACATCCACCTTGTAGTTTTCAACCCATAATTACATATTATTGCAACTCTTCTTAGTTCGGTTCAGGAGTTTGTGGTAAAGCTATATAAATCGATCGCAACTAGTCATCCTCAATTTCGTTGGTGAGAATAGAGGATTGTGAGTTAGCGAGAGTAGAGGATTGCATCATCCTCAATTTCTAATAGATGTAATTTAAGGTTTTAACAAACCGAAAAAAAAAATTAATTTGAGAGTTTTAGGGTTTTTAGCAATTTGGGAATTTTTGGTTCTCACAAATTATGGGTTTTTTTTTCTTATAGCAAAGTTTAGGATTTTAACTCATAAACATATGTATTCGAAGAAGATGAAGAAAAAATTGATGAGAATGATGAACGAAAAATGGAAAAGAATTAGGGTTTTAGATTAGGGATTTTCAAAAATTAGAGTAAGTTGAAATTTGGGCTATTGAATAATCAAAGATCTTAGGATTCGATTCCAAAGCAATCGATGAATCGATGGTGAACGGAAAATTGAAGGCAATTGTGCGAGGATTAGGGTTTTTTTTGAATGAAAATATGTAACAATTAAGGATTCTTTGAAGAAAAATTGAGCGAGATATATCAACTGCGTGATGAGAGAGAAAAATCAAAGGGTTTTTATACCTTTTTTTTCATATTTTAAGTGTAAATTTTTTTATCCATGTCGAAAATTTAATCGATATGTCGAGCAATGTGGTAATTTTTTTACTTGATGTGTAACTCTACATGATAATTTTTTATCATCTATCATCGCTTATTAGATTAATCATCAAATTTAAGTGAGAGAGGCCACATTAAAAAAAAATTGAATATTTCGGAGAGATGATGAATAAGAAAAAAAATTAGAGGGGTCACATTAAAAAAAGTATTGGTAGTAGATGACGTTTTATGCTATTAAACGAAAAAAGAAAGAGGAAGAGGAGGTGGTGACAATAGTAGTAATATTAGTATAGTAATAACAATAATATATTTAAAAAAAATTAATACACCACGAGTACAAGTTGGTAGTGGAAAAGGAGTGATGGAGGAGTAGTGGTGGTAAAATAATAGTAATTATAACGTTTTTTTGTCACCATAGCCAATGGCGACGGTGATTGTGCTATTGGTGGAGGTGGTGATGGTGGTAGAAGTTGTTAATGCACAATAAATAAAAATAATATATTACAATTTTGAAAACAAATCTCATTATCACTTTTTTGGTTTTATTCTCACCTCTCTCCATAAAAATAAAAATGCAACTATATTTATTTTTTTCTTCTTATTTTTACTATATTTTTTAAAATCAAACACCTATAAAATAGAAATAAAACTTTTATTCTCATTTTTACTATTTTATTTTTTGTTAATAAACAACACTTAAAGTTAAACAAACCTTTTAAATAATTGATTTTGAAGGATCATAGGCCCAACGGTTTTCTAAATCGTGAAGTCAACAATGTGAAATCAAGACTCAAGATAAAAATTCATGTACTCGTGTTAAAAAATGTGGGAGATGAGAATGAGTACAATAGTGGTTGAGTAAAAAAAGATTGAGGGAGTAGTCACCCCCTTTAAATATATATATATATATTTGTGTTATACAATAATGATTGTTCTTTCTAAATAAAAAATCCTATATTTTATGTATATCTTATAAAAATACTTATTTATTGATGGATCTTAAAAAGAATATTATGATACTTGCATGTTTGTAATTATACTTATTATGGATGAATCTTAAAAAGAATATTATGATATTTGCAAGTTTGTAAATATACTTTTCCATGGATTTATATGGGATTTATAGAGCAAGAATGAACTTGACAATATTTTGAATTGCAAAAAGGGTCAATATTCTCAAAATCATGCCATAATTAAGAAATTAAGTCAATTATTTGTACCCCTATTGACAATTTCAATATTAATTATAGAATTGATGAGTTTTGTATGATCAAACAATGTCGAGTACAATTCAAAATAGATAAGAGGAGCAATAAAAACGAGAAATTTTTAAGGACATTTACGTATGTTAACACTTCTCATTGCAAATTACATAGATGTTTAGCATTAATAAGATTTCCTACTTCGATTACATTTATACGGATGTTTAGCATAATAAGATTTCATTATATTTTTATAATTTTATGAATTTTTAGTAGTTTTATTTCATTCATAAAGGTTTAATATATGACATATGTCATAATCCAAAATATGGGTTACATTTATTTCCCGTTATTTTTCTAGCATTTTTTGCTAATTTTATGCCTTTTTATTTTTATTTATTTTATTTTATTTTCCTTCTTTATTTTAGTCAATTTTACAAGTTAATGCTTAATATTATGATTTATTTTTTATTATTTTATTTTTATAAGAAAATAAACAAAAACAATTATTACAAATTTTTTCTTTCAAAAAAAAAAAAGAAAAAGAAAAAGGAAATGAAAATACAAAAATATATAAAAAACTAAAATACAAAAAAAAATATTTGCATGAAATAATTAATTACAAGTATAATTAAAGAGAACAAGGATCGAAATTGAAAAAAACCAGATTTGAAATTGGAGGTCACTTAGAGATGAAACTAAATGAAATAGAGATGCAATTGAATGAAATATAGATTGAAATTGAAAGCTAATAAGGGTAAAATTGAATTGAAAATCGGAGGTGTAATTGCAAAAAATTGAAACATGTAAGGACTAAACTAGAATTGGGCGAGAAAACGACAAGACCAACATCAACTCGAACGACTTGTTGTTCACTATAACTCAAAACCAATTCCTCCCTTTAAGTATCGTTCATCGTCTTTTATCAAAAAGACAAACCCAATCCGGACAAATTCCTAGCTAACATTTGTATCAATTAAAAATAAAGCTTCAATTAAACCCACACCATAATGTCCTGCACCACTTGTGCATATACAACAACAAAATTGCTCCTCCTTTCTAGACTGCTATTGATAGCTCCTTCAAAAAACAAAATCCGAGGAATCAAACCTCTCTTGGATAAACAAGAGAGGAATGTACCCTAGAGAGAGAATAGAAAACCATGATGAAATAGGTTCCATCCAAAGGCCAAAAACGTAAGGGTGAATGAGAAAAAATAGAAGAGAGTTTTGGTCTTTGGAGAGAAAAAAAGGTGGAAAATCTTAGCTTGAGAAACTATCATTCAGTTAATTGATAATGACTTAGCTTGAGAAACTATCATTCGGTTAATCTTAGCTTGAGAAAAAATACCCGGAAAATAGTAAAAGAAAGGCACCAAAATATAGAATTAATCCTACCAATACCTAATCCTATTTTTTAATTTCACAATAACAAAAGAAGCTTTGCACCCCGTGACTTGTCGATTCATTTGAAGATCGTTCTTTCAATCCCTAGCAAACATCTAAATCTGCAAAGTATGTTCTTCATCCATGCTTTTTTTTATTTATTTATTCAGTTTAGCTTTCATGTTGGATTCATGGTGCTCAAAATGATAATGACTTCGTCACTCGTCATTATATGTTAATCAATAACCTATAGTACAACTCCTAACCCTTTTTGTTTGTTGGTTCACTATCTAGGGAACATGAGAAGAAGGGTGTGAGTTTCGTTTGGTTAGGGTGATGATGATACCATGTGAGGCTTTGTGATACGAGACTACCAAGTTTTTTACCCACTCTACGCTGTGGGTTGGATTGAATTACATAAAATAATTTGAAAAAAATCATTTCAATTGAATGATTATTGCTATATTATGGGTTCATAAAAATATATGAAATCAAAAGTAAAAAAGATAATCCAATTTTATAATATTTTAATCATTTTTTATATTTAATTATTTCTTTTGTGATTTTCAAAATTTATATACTTTAAAAATAATAATTCTTCTTTATCCATAGATTCTTAAACAAAAAGAGCATCCAATAGAAAATATAAAAAAATTAGTATTTCATAAGACCGTGTCGAAAAAACAAAGTAAAAATTAATATAAAAGCTGACATAAAAATAAATAAATAAATTATTTTGGATTTTTATCCAATATTGATGAGAATGTTAGTCTTTAAAAGTATGCACTTTTGGTTTTTATATATTTATTCATGGAAAAAGATCAATAATATTATAAAAAGTTGTATTTAAATAATTGGATATATAGTTATGCAAAGACATAATAATCCATATGTTTTTAATTGATACGATATTTTCTAAAAATAAT